GGCTCCCATTAAGGCCTGCTTCCGGTGTCTAATAATCCTTGGGGTGATTACATCTTTGGGTATTAGCTTTTAAATTTACTGAATGCTCCTCTTCTTTGGACTATGTAAGATAACGAAGTGGCTTGTAATATTCTCCAAGCCACCACTGGGACCTTAGGCTGTATCTTATGGCATAAATTCAGGGAACATGAAGGCCTGAACAAGATCATAAAAGTATGAGAGATTGTTTATTTCAATCCAACACATATTCCTTGAGGTCTCTTTGGTATCAGACACAAGACTGAATTTGCAGCAACTTGGATGAAACTGGAGACCATCATCCTAAGTGAAGTATCTTAGGAATGTTCGCACTTACAAGTGGGAGCTAAATGGGACATATATGGTCATAAAGAGGTGTAAAGGACATTGGAAACTAAGAATAGGGGAGAGTGGGAGGGAGGGTGAAGGACAAAAATCTACCTGTCGTGTACAATGCACACTATTTTGCAGACAGACACACTAAAAGCCCTGACTTCAGCATGATACAATTCATCCATGCAACAAAAAAACACTTGTATCCCCTAAATTCTTTAAATAAAAAAAAATGTACACACACACAAGAAAAAGTGGGAAAAAATGCCTAAGGCCTGATCCCCACATTTAAGAAGGGGATTATGAAGACTAAAACAGATAATCTTCAACAACAACAAAAATATAATTTGGAAAGGTGAAGACTGTTATATAGAAAAGAATTGTAGTAAAAAGAGCACAGGACTAGTGGCCAGGGTATCTAAATATGAATTCCATCTTTCTTACCACGTAATTGTGTATCTTCATTTTCTTCTCTGTAAATGGGTAAAATGGATCTATCACCTGCAGAATTTTCTTTTTTACCTTAAAGTGTTATCTTGAGAACCAAATAAGATCACAAATGTGAAAACAATTAGTGAAATACAAACTTTAAATTGTCACTATTGTCAGTTTTTGCTTAGGTAGTTCTATGCAAATAACTCGCAATATTTTTAGTGATTTTTATTATCGTGAAATGAGGAATCCCAGGTTGAAAGGATGGAGAGTTGAGGCACTGCTGGGTTCCCAGAGTGTCTCTGACAATTGCATTCTGCAGGGATAATTTCCTGGGCTGATGCAGGTGCCACGGGGGCTGGCATAATCTGGGTTATTTTTGGTGTCACTTGGTGTGTCGTAGGATTGCTTAATGGGGAATGTGCCGTGTTCTTTCTTTTTGCCCCTCCTTTATTGAGAAAATAAACCACAGCTGTCATGAAATCAGAACTTTGGTGAAATCTGTTGCAGAAGAACCGGGAAACACGTTGCAATGGAGCCTGCTGGCTACTGCTGCAAGTTTGGGGTGAACAGGAGCATCAGGTTTTTGTAGGTGAGCAGATAAATGTGTACAAGGGGTTTCTGCTTCTGTTTTGTTTCATTTTGAGTGGTGGTGATGGTGAGTGTGGGGCATGGTAGAATGTTAGAGCATTCATATTCCATGAGAAGATGGACAATGTAAATATCTAAGAACTAAATCCTAACATTTATCACGTGACGTTGTGCAAGAAAAATAATGTAAGGATCTTTCTTCATTTGTAAAATGGCAACAACAATACCCACCCATATAGGATTGTTATGGGGATAAATGACGTAACATACAGTCACTGTGATATGTTCTAAGTGTTCAGTAAATGGTTATTATCATCATGACGTTTTAGAACTAGCTTGGAGATAAAGTGTCTTCAGCAGTAAAGATAAGGGCTTAAAAATATAGGAACTCTGTTTCCACGTGACCATCTGTCACAGAGGAGGCACTGCATTCTGACAACCTGATGTCCTTGCCACCAGGAGTCACGCATGCAAAGCAGGGTGTTTTCCTAATTTGAACGCAATGACTGAGGTGGAAAATGGTAGAGTTTTTATTTTATTTTATTTTTTAAGAAGTGTTTTCTCTAATGCAAAATTTTAAAATTGATTTGTTGTTTGTCAAAACAAGTTTCATTCTTGGTAGAAAAAGGAAAAAAATGTCCATCATGTTTATAAGGTCCATTAAAATAAAGTCTCAATAGCCCACAAAGCCAGAAACTCTGCTGGAAAAAATTCAGCAGGGGAAGAGGCAGAATTCTCCTACACTGTAGACAACGGGTCTCTTCTCAGATGGCAGGATCAAAGTTTTCTCATTTTGTAAAGTTTTCTACATTAATAAAAAATGTATGATCTTTTTATATGTTTACAAAATAAAAACATGGCCTACATTGTTGACATAGATGATTTCATGTGCTTTTGGATGGTCTATGTTGTTTAACTCTGGGAAGTTAGGGGCCAGTGCCCTCTCACCCCTCCCTCTCTCATCCTGCAAAACATGCCCATGCTCTGGTTTGAAGAATCCACTAGAAGGATTAAGAGTCCTGGCAAGTCATGCAGGGTGAAGTACTGAGTTCAGTGACCCAGTAGGGAAAATGAGCACCCAATGGGAAGAACATGCCTATATGTTAAATGGAATTGCTATGGGGGTCAAAAAATGTACAACAAAATTTACTTTTAATGTGTTAAGTCATCACTGGGGATCAGGTCTCAATTTCTTTTTGTCTCTATCTGGGTCACCACCTAGGTGACCTAATCCAATCCTATGTCTACATAATGACAACTCCCCCAAATTTATTTCTCTATATTCAGTCTCTTCTCCGAACTTCACACACCTACATATCGCGTGCTGCCTACTGGGTGTCTTGAATTCCTCCTCAAAGTTGTTCCTCTCACATACTTCACCACCTCATCGAACGGACACCCTGTCCTTCCACTTGTTCAGGAAAACAAAAGTTGGGTTATGCCTGACTCCTGTCTTCATATCACATCCCACATCCAATCCATTAGCAAATCTTGTCTCTGTCTTCAAAATAGAACTTCAGACGATTTCGCACTTGCTACCACCATCTCCTGTGCAGACTGTTGCAGTGGCCTCTTAACAGACCTCCTGTTTCTGCTCTTTTGCTCCTATGGTTTATTGTCATCAGAGCAGCAGAACGATTCTTCTAAAATATAAGTCAAATAATGTTGTTTCTGCTCACAGCTCTCTCAAATCCAAAGTCTGCATGATGGGATGGCCAATAAGGCCTTACAGGACCTGTCTCCTTGGCACTTTTCCAGCCTGACCTCTGTCCCTCTCGCTTCACCCTTGCCTGAATTTCTCCCCAGCCACCAAGCCCAGCACATTCGCACCTCAGGGCCTTGGCACTCACTGTCATCTCCCTGGAGCTCTCTTTTCCCCAGATAAGCTTTGCTTGCTCAGCTCCTTCAGATATAGATCTCAAGTCTTCACCAGGAGCTCTAGGCAAAGAACACCCCACAGTTCTCTCTTTCCTTCTTTTCTCTCTCTCTCTTTCCTAACCCAAAATATCAGTCAAGTGTTAACTAGGAAAATAGAAATCATTCTTAGTATCTGAAATAAAGGGGTGATTTAATGAAAACGGGTTACATGTGTGATGGCAGAGGCTGCAAAGCCAAACAGGGGACAGACACCGAGGGGACTCAGAAGTTGGGATCAGTAGGAAACCACTAGCCCCGTCCCCGCAGGCAGGAGGGACAAAGGCACCCATATCACCTGGCCAAAGCAGCAATCGCAGTGACTGTGGCAGAAGAGACCCAGCCCCACTACAGACGCTGCCAAGGGAGGTGGAGGGAGTGACACCTGGCTTCTCCCTCCCTCCTGCCCTCCAGCCTCCTGCAGTGCCGCTTTTTGGGTGAACTCACCCAGAGGCTCTGACAGGAAGGACACGCTCCCCCTACAGGGGGCAGCACCCACCACCCATTCCCAGCTCTGGCAGGGCGGGGGCTGAGTCTTAGGACAAACAGGCACAACCTGCTCTGTTTTTCCTCAGAGTATTTTTGTCATCCTTGACACATTTAGAATTTTTTTGTTTATTTGTCATTTCTCTTACATTGACTGGAATGTATGATCTACGAAGCAGGGGCTTTGCTGTCTGTTCACTGCTGTATGTGTGACTCCTAGAACACTGCTTGGCACATAGTGGGCACTCGACAGATATTCTTCAGATGAATAAATATGCAGCCTCAGCCTCCCAAGTAGCTGGGACTACACGCATGCGCCACCATGCCCGGCTAATTTTTTCTATATATATTAGTTGGCCAATTAATTTCTTTCTATTTATAGTAGAGACAGGATCTCACTCTTGCTCAAGCTGGTTTCGAACTCCTGACCTTGAGCAATCTGCCCTCCTCGGCCTCCCAGAGTGCTAGGATTACAGGTGTGAGCCACCGCGTCCAGCCTGTATGTACATTTTAGACATGGAGGTCTCACTATGTTACTCAGGCTAGTCTCAAACTCCTGAGTTGAATTTATTCTCCTGCCTCAGCCTCCTGAATTGCTGGGATTACTTTCCAAGCATAGGCTCAGGTGATGCTCGTATATCTCAAACACAGAGAACAAATCCCTACATTTCTTGTATGTGAGGTCAGTGTGCACAAAACTTGCTTTTATACTCTAAGGAATGGTTAAATGCATTGGTCAATGTTTGAGAGGCTAGGGGGAACACTTCTCTCCTACTTCTGCTAGTTCCTTACTCGTAAGGGGATCACTTCTAATGTAACACACCCTGCATCTATCTGGGCTCTCAGCCTTCTCTTTGGGAAGTAGGTTCAGAACATGCACAGGGAAGAGGAATGTAGTTTATTGGGTCTCTTAAAGTCCAAAGGTTCAGACAAAATAAAATGCTGAGGATTGATTTAATAAATGCTTTTTAGTATTTAGTTATAAAACATGTCTAGTTTCTCCAAGTTCACAAAGCATATAACAGGCTTAAAGTACAGTCAGAGATTTTGTTAATACATACTAACTTTCTGTTAAAAGAATTAGGCAGCTGAATGATTGTTGAATCTTTATCCCATAGATATTTAGACATAGGACTGGCAATTTGATGTTTACGAATGTTTCTATTCTACTTTGAGGCAGAGTTTAGATTAAAAGACCTCTTGAGGTTTATTTCAGGTCTATGAATTTATTGATAACTATAAATATTTTTTAGCAGATGAATAATAATGAAAATAAACAAGCTTAAACTCTTATGGTACAATATCTCCACTCCTCCTGAATGTACTTTTTCCTTGTTGACACCAAAATCAAATGATGAGTTTAGTGGTTCTTTACACTGAAACCAAGTATTGGTTCTCATGATTCGGGTAATGTTCTTTGCCTTAACATCGTATTCAAATTGCTTTGATCCACGGGAGAAATAGAAGAATCCTAGAGACAGAGAATCATGATTAGTTATCTGGCATAATGATATAATCATTATGGTTTAATACTTTTTAAATTTTATGAATATAGAATAAAAGGACATTATGGAAAACAGAGAAACTTGTGGAATTATATAGACACATTTTTAGTTTTCTACTGTCATATGGGAAATATTACTTTTATTTCCATGATGAGGAAGCCAATGGTATAAAGTATGAGTTTCAAGGGACTTACTACCTTTATAGCCAGACTGTGGTCTATGCCAGAGGATCCCAAACTAGGTTTCAACAAAGTATGCCAGTGACAGGGAAGAGAAGGTCCCCATGGCTATGGCCTTGGACCCTACGTCCTCATTGTCTTAGTGCTGTTCTAATTTTATGTGTTTTGGGTTTTGAGGTTCTGTATTAGATTTCATTGTAAAAATGGATCGTGTCACCCAAAAACATTTTTAGGCTTCTGATTACTCCATAGTCTAGGAGGTCATTGTCTTTGCAGATACAGTACATCAGATTCCCTGAGGTTCTTTTACAACTACAGATTCCTGGGTCTCACCCACAACCCTACTGTCTCAGATACTTTGAAATTTGTTTCTCGCACACAAACCCCAAGCTATACACATTAAACTACTTACACTAAAGTTTGAGAATCATTGTTCAGTTCATGTGCTTAGTCGTTTTTCATACTTTTGGGGTGTTTTTTAGGTTTGTTTTTTTTTTTGCATCAGTGATGAGCAAAACTAATTTTGGTACTTTTGATAGATTTGGAATAGTATAACAGAGAATATAATTCAGGAGTTTTTGGATTCAGTTTATGATAATGCCTGCGGGGGTCAATGTTTATTATTTCATATACTTACGAGCAGTACAATTACATTAAGATCAAAACATTTAAGTCTTCTTTCATAGTCAATACAATCTCCCAAGTGTCCTAATAGTTTAGGCATCAGTGCTCACCTTTATACTGGAAAGCAGCGTCAACACGGAGACCGATTCCTGGGAAGTGTTTTATCACCCTCTGTGGGAACCCTTTCTCCATGGTTTGGGTCATCTCGTCATACCTGCATACAAGGATTTGAAAAGTTTCCAGTGGATCACTGGTTTGGGGAGCTTAATAAGTATACTGCCCAACTTAGAGTCAAGCAGGATGTGGGGGACAAATAGGCCTAGCAGACGAAAACTAATTGAATCAATATTAAAAATATGGTGAAGATTATGTTTGGTTGAATCATTTATGGTATCCTGCAAACAAGCAACGATCAGGGACAAAGGCCACATCATTTGTTAGACTGATGCTATTCTGAGGAATTGTTAAGTCACACTTAACAGGGCTCAACTTGGAGCTTTCATAAATTTTGATTGGATGTGTTTATGTAATTGGCAATTTGGTTGGCATTAGCAACTGTATTATTTTATCTTATCCGTATTTTTTTTTAAGTCAGAGAAAAATCACTGGGCTCATTGAAACATCTTTTGGTTTTGTAAATGTCATCTATCGGAGATCGCCTTTAACATAATTCACCTTAAGAAGAATAACAGATTCATTTTATTTTTTTCGGTGTCAAAGTGATGTTATAGTGAATATTTTCCCCATAATGTAACAAAGGGGTCAATTTTCTGTGAACTTACCTCCAGCACCAAATTCCCACAAAGAAGTAAGTTTTTCTTGTGTTTTGGTCACAGACAGCTGCATCTATTTTCTTCACACTGCTTGGAAAGCCAAGCGTGTGAATGGATTTGGGATAATCTGGCAAGACAGCATACCCTCTGATCATCCAGAAGTTTTCTCCTAGAAAGAGAGAAAGTGATTGTCTGCTGCTCTATTTTCTAGAGGGAGAAATAGATGTCTTAAGAAGTTTGAAAGTAATTAGATGCCTAGTTCCTCTTAACTTCATTGCTTAGAGACTTGGTAATCTTATGTCTTCATTTATTCTTACCAAGTTCTTTAGTGGCTAATATCACTAATATCATACGAATAATATCGCCTGTGGTCAATAGTGTGCATACCCTTGCCACCTGGTCTCACTGTATTGATTGCTTTTAATTCTGTCAGCCAAAACAATCAAGTATGCAATGTACATATGTATCAAAACATCACTTGGTACCCAATAAATATGTATCATTATTATGTATCAATTAAAATTTCTAAAAAATTATGTATGTTTGGACATGTTCTCTTAAATTTCAGCCCACAAGGGCTCTTAAAGGCTAGTAATCTGATGAAATCTGTATAAAAAGTAGGGTTGCTAGATTAAATATAAGATTCTAGTTAAATTTGAATTTCAAATAAACAATGACAAATTTTTGGTATAAATAAATATGAAATATTTCAAGGGTCATAGGTATAACATAAGGTTATTTGTTGTTTATCTGAAATTCATAGCATCCTGTGTTTTTATTTGCCAAATCTGGCAACCCTAGTAAAAAGGGAACATAAAAGAGAAAGTGATTACTTTTATTTGGCAGAAAAGCAGAGTTTTTTTAGCTTTTATCACATAGGTTTCTTTTAGTCTCTATGTAGTTGGAATTCTGTTTATCTTCATGGCCACAGAGAATCCCTACATAGTTATTCTTTATGAGAGGAACCTAAAATGAGGTCAAAAGCCCTGTGCATTTGGCTCACGTGAATATTATCATATTCCTTATGCCAAAATACCCACTGGCCAGTCCAGGCATCCAGAGGGAGAAGAGGAATCACAATGGGCAAGGTTACCTTTAAAAACCAGAATCTTATCTTTGGGGTTCTCATATGCAGCTTGAAGATCGGCTGGCAGAGATGGCCAGAAGGAAGCTATTAATTCAAATTCAACATCAGTGATATCATAATAGATCCTCCAGAGGTGCCTGTGTTAAACAAAAACCACTTTACACATGCAGCCTTTCTATTCATGTCAGTAAAAACACTGCAATCTTGACTTTTATCACTGCAAGGCTTGACTTTTATCTAATTGATTGGTATCTCCCTCAAATAATTTAGAGAGCTAGCACAAATTTTCCCAGCAAATTTAGGTGGGAGTTCAGTTCTGCCCTTTAAACTACCAAGATCAAGACATGCCTTTGTGCCCACTCTCCTGGGTGCTCAGAGTGGCAAACTCTGCATGGAAATATTACAGATAATTCTGAGTGCTCAATGGTTTCATTTTCTTTTTATTTATTTTTTTGCCGAAGTAGCAACACCCACTTTTCTAAGCCAACAACAAGCATTACTAAGAGGAATTGATGCTTGCTGGCATGAAGAAATGTTATCATTGACATGCCAAAATATTTCATCAGAATTTCCTTTCTGGCTGTAAAATTTTGAGTTTATGAGTGAGAATCAAAAATTCTTTAGATTCCATGTTGTTCCCCATATAGGCACTGCGTCTCTGATATCCATAACAAGAAGTTTCTCAGCTTCTGCTGGTCAGAGCATGGTAGTGATAGCAGGTAATTATAGTGCTATGTAGTTTCGGGTAAGAAGAACATGGTTTCAAGTGTTGTTTCCTTTGGCCCCTATATCCTTATCAGATGGTGTCTGTCCTCATACTCTGCTATAAAAATATGGTCATGGTATACATAACTGACACACCATGCTGCAGCTGAAGTCCAATAAGTTTTACATAGTGAGAGAAGGGACTTCCCATGACAGCAAGCACTTTATTGATGCAACATTAAAAAATCATCAGTGGTTGTGTTGATACATGTTTAATAACTGGCTCTCCAGGTGGGAAAAAGACATGACTTTAATCATTTGCTGATTTCCAGGGTGTAAATACTTTAACCATGGCCAGTTTCAAGCTGCCAGTGTGATGTGAACTGGTCTGCAAATTTCCTGAAAATTTGACAATGGGCTCCTGAAATCAGGCATAAGTTGGTCCCAGCACAACACTGGGATTGGTGTATTATTTGGGGCAAGAAGTCACAGAAAGTAGACCCCACTTCACCTTCTTATAGGGCAAATTTAAAAATTTCTTAAAGATATTTAAAAATTAATTCATCAAAAGAGATACATGCACATGGTAAAGCATTCCAACAGTATGAGCAGTTATAAAATGAAAAGTAAAAGTCACCCATTTTTACTGTCCCCCATCATTCCTTCTTTATCCTCAAATCCCTTGAAAAGAAAAATCCTCATAGGAGGTTGAGGTGTTTAGGGGAATGGGTTTACCTGCCTTTAAAGAACATTACTTCTCTGCGGTAAGTGGTGACAGCATCAAAAGTCAAGTCAGGGTCACAGGCATGGGGTACAGTGGGTTTCTTTGGTTTAGCAGGTACCTTAGGCCGACCTTTGATAAGAAAAAAAAATCCCACAGTGAATTAAAGAAGGCATGAGGAAATACACCCACACAAGGATCTTACCTAAGCGCATATTTGCTTCACGATATTATTTCAAGAAGTGATTTTCTCAACTTCCCTTCTGAAAAGCTTCCTATTTAGTTCACATATATTCAGATTTATAATTTAGCTCACCATAGATGGATTGGATTCCACTGATATCATCCTGAGAAAGTGGGTATTTGCTAGGATCCAGTGAGATATAATTTGGAAACATCAAGGCTGTTTGATCGTTGGAGTGAGAGAGCCCCAGTGAATGACCAAATTCATGAGCAGCCACAAGAAACAAGTTGAATCCTTAATAAAAAACAGGGAAAATATGAGTATATGAGTTGATCAAAAAGAGAACGGCTGCCTCTGAGATTAGAAAGTAACTAAGGGGAATGAAGAAAAGGCTTGCTGTATATACAGCAGATAATTCTTATAATATATGTACCACCATTTATATGGGACATAATCAATGCTAATACAGTCACGCATGGCTGAATGATGGGGATATGTTCTGATAAATTCATCAAGAGTGTGAACATCCTAGAATGTACTTGCACGAACAAAAGGGGCACAGTCTACTATGCACCTAAGCTATATGGTGGAGCCTAATACTCCCAGGCTGCAAATCTGAACAGCATGTTACTGTGCTGAATTACTGTAGGCAATTGTAGCACAGTGGTAAGTATTTGCATATCTAAATATAGAAAAAATACAGTAAAAATAAGGTATAAAAGGTAAAAAACGGTACACCTGCACAGGGCACTTAGTATAAATGGAGCTCGCCTGACCAGAAGTTGCTCTGGGTGAGTCAGTGAGTGAGTGGTAAGTGAAGGTGAGGGACTCTAGGACATTACTGTACACTACTGCAGACTTTATAAATACTGTACACTTAGGCTACACTAAACTTATAAACATTTTTTTCTTCAATATTAAATTAACCTTCATAAAGTTTTTTACTTTATAAACTTTTTAAATAATTTTAACTTTTGACTCTTTTGTAATAACACTTAGTTTAAAAAGCAAATGCATTGAACTGCCGTCCAAAACATTTTTCTTTATATCCTTATTCTATAAACCTTTTACTATTTTAAGAATTTTTAATTTTTTTTTTTTTACTTTTTAAACTTGAAAAAAAAATAAGACACACAAATTAGCCTAGGCCTACACAGGGTCAGGATCATCACTATCACTGTTTTGCACCTCTGCATCACGTCCCACTGGAAAGTCTTAAGGGACAAAAACACACATGGAACTTTGATCTATGATAACAACGCCTTCTTCTGGAATACCTCCTGAAGGACCTGCCTGAGGCTGTTTTATAGTTACCTTTTTTATTTTTTTTTAATAAGTAGAAAGAGTACGGTCTAAAATAAGGATAAAAAGAATAGTATAGTAAATACATGAACCAGTAGCATACTCATTTATTATCAAGTATTATTACTGTATGTAATTGTGTGTGCTGTGCTTTTATATGACAGGCAGTGCAGCAGGTTCGTTTATACCAGCATCACCTCGGACACGTGCAAAATGCATCGTGCCATGACATCACTAGCTCCATCATAGTCTTAGGGACACTGTTATACACACAGTCTGTTGTTGCCTGAAACATTGTTCTACAGAGTGTGATTGCAACTGGTATTAGTCACATCATGGAGAAACATAACTCAGAGTAAGCGAATGGCTTGAAATCAGTGTCTCAGAAATGGATATTAAAAAAATTAGAAGCCACCAATTTGAAGCCACCAATAGTTGTCACCCAAGAAGACAGATGTCAGTGATAGAAAAAAGAATGGGGAGGACCTGAGAATCCGCTGAGCCTGCTGCTTTGCTTGATGCACACACTATTACTGTAGTTAAGTTTTGTGGGTTTTTTGTTGGAAAAGTATTAAAACACTTGTAATGCCAGGCCGGCCCATTAAGAGAAATAAAATCAACTTACTTGGTTTGAAGGAATAAGTCAAATGTAAGGATTAGGTTCTAATTCCTTCATAGATAGGCAAGAGTTAAGTGATGAAGTTCATGCTTTTAAATAAACCCATTTATGGGCCATGAATCCACACATTATCCTTTAATTGCTAACTAAATTACCACTTCCCTGGAGTCTTCTTTCAATCCTCAAATAACAGATGATTGCTACCACTGGTAGGACACAGAACACATTCTGGCTTACGTAGCAGGTGTGTTGGCTAAGCCTTATGTATCAATCACACAGGATCTGAAGGGCCGAAACTTTTCTCGTCCAACTTTGGGGTCCATACAACACCTTGAATAGTTCCAGGCACATGGTGGGTCCTCGGGCATTGAGGACATATGAAAGAATGTATGAATAAGTGCAGAATGCTCTGATCATAAAAGGACTGCCAACTTTATGAGGGTGTTGTGTCTGATATTGAACACTTCCATCAATGTCATCGTGGAACCATGGAAAATTGTGGGGAAATTGGGAAGTTTAGAGTTAAAAAGCTATTTTTTTCAGGGATGCTTTATAACAAAAAAATTTTATTCATAAAGAAAATTAGACTCACCTTCTGCACCCTTGGTCCAGTTTTCATCCTCGTCGAAGTGAGTGTCACCACCCAGACCCAGACCAGGAGGAAAGGCATGGCCGAGGACTCCCAAGGGACCATCAAAATAACGAGGACACCGACCATGGACTGACATGGAATTCATGGGAGGAAAAAGAATGAGCTTCCTCAAATTGTCTGCGACTAAAAATAGCCACACTTTTCTCCCTATTGAAAACCTTACCTCGAGTCCTAAAGGCAATCATGATGTCTGCAATCCCCTTGGAAATCTTGGTGAATGTTAGTGGAGTAACCTTGCTCCACACTTGTAAAGCATCTTGGATAGCCTCATCCACATCAGCTCGTGCCATATCCGGAGTGTAGTTCATCAATCTGAAAAATTAATAAAAATATGTCAATTGCTGGTTATACGTGTGTGCATGTACACACATACCACACAAGTCATTTCTAGCTTATCCATCATGTGCTGCAGGAACTTCTGGTATGGCTCCATCGTCTTACATTTGCATAGCATTTCATTTAAATGAAGTACTTTTACATATGCTATATGATTCAATTTTTTCGTCTTCCCTATGAATCAGGGAGTAGTATACCACTTTAACAAAGGAGGCTCAAAGAAGTTAAATGAATTCCAGGAGATCACACCCTATGTGGGACAGCATTCATCTTATGTATGTATTTGCTTATATATGAATGTATTGCAAATATATCAAAAAAAGAATTGAGATTTATTTCCTTGAATGGCTTGTGGAAATCAGTCCTGCTCATGTGTCATATATGAAGAGTCTTACTCAAGAGCCACAAAGAGTTACTTGGGAAAAGATTTTTCTCATGTGTATATTCCCTAACTTGCTAAACTCATTTTTATCTCAAGTCCTAAGACTCAACATGATGGAGGAGGAACTATCACAAAGGCTCTAGAGTTGTGGTCAACGTCATTGGCTCTATCTCAGATCAAGGACGGGCTTCATCCTCTTCCTACCAATGAGTTAGTCTCCTTCTCCTTGACATGTCTGAAGGAAACTCCATATGAGAGTTGGCAGCTCACACATCTCTAACATGAACTGGTCATGCTCCAGGGTCTCCCCTGTTTTCTCATGAGCACAGTGTGCCACTGAGCATCTGTGGTCAGATGACAGTTTTTTGTCATGAGCTTATATGAAGGTGGCAGAGACCAGAGATCAGAACATGTCTGCTATAGTCAGTCTCCTGGTAAGAGCTGTGTAACCCTAGCTATGTTAAATAATCTTTTGTTTCAGTTTCTCTATGTTTAAGGTGGCTGTAACAGTAGTGCCTACAGCACAGGTTTGTTGGGAAGATGGAATACATGAAATCTATGAAGTACCATGCACATAGGAAGTGCTCAGTAAAATAAACAATTATTTTCATTGTTCCTTGAAGATTATATTCATGTTCCCTTGGATTGGGTGCAAATAAGTTGACAGAAGCATTACCTGTATGTGAGGTTGTGTTTTCTCCACCCAGGAAGAGTGTAGCCATACTGACCCACGTCAGGCACGCCACACCTGGGTGTCTTCATGATCTCGAGAGTGTTTGAGTCCAGTTTTCCAGTCACTTTCAATCCAAAAAATGCTTGCATTTCTTGAAGTTTGCCATCAATGAGACTCCTGTTCTTGCTTTGAACAAGATGACTCCCTTCTATTTCAAGAGAGTAGAACTGGTTGAGATATGCCTGACCAAAAAGACAAAAAAAGGCACCGACTACAGGAGAGCAAATCTCCATCTCAGGATAAAACAAAATTGCCTGAAATCCTTTTGGCAGTAGAGAGGAAAAAAAAAAAAAAAGAAAATAATTAATGAGGGAAAGCAAGGCGGGAGGGAAGAAACAAGAAAGGAAGGACACAACGAGGAAAGAAACGAGTCAGTCTCCCTACTGCTTTCAATTTCCCAGAACTGGTTGATTTATGAGTGACCAGAATTAGCCAAACCATACAATCCATAAAACTCCAAACCTCCACAGAAGAAAATAAATCTTCTTCTACCTGTTAAAGGATGACATGTTTCATATATTTTTGCTGTTACTTTCATTTTGGTGTTTCCTTGAAACAAATTCTAGAAGAGACAGGTAATTATCCATTTTGCAAATTTGTTTGATTTAACCAAATTAACTGGACTAATTTTTTAGAGGGACTCTCCAAAGCAATGTATGTTTCACACAGATAGGGATTAGGGGCTCCAATTTGTAGACAAGGTCCTCCTGGCTGTCTTGAAATGCTTTTATAGAGATCTCCATGCCTCTCAGGGATGTCCCTCTCTCTTTTCACTAAATATCCCTTCACTCGTGACCACTGCTCAAAGTTGTAGCAGATCCTGTCTTTTTCCCCACCCTGCCCCAGCCCTCTGCCCCTCACACAGTTTCTGGATGTTCTTAGAGCTGGACAAATGGAAAGCAACTTCTTCTCACAAGAAAGTTCAGGACCCTTTTCAGAAACTTGCTGTCTTTTTAAGTCCTGAGAGAATAAATAAAATAAACTTCCAATTGATAGTCATTAAAAACATGTATTGAGATAGTACCTGAGCCAGTTGCATGTCTTCTTCATTTTCCATCAGTCGATCTACAGGAAATGCAGAAGAAAATGTTATAAAAAACAAAAATAAAAGTAGAAGGCTCTTCATTCCTCTCTCTTTCCAGTTGAAGCCCAGTTCTATTTGCAAAGAATTTAGAAAATAATAGTGAGACGTGGCATGAATGGTCTTGTCTCGTCATGTAATTAATAACAGAGAAGGACACTTGCCATGATGTGTGTCATCATTTGCTCTTTTTTTTTTCTTACACTGACCTGATTTTGCCATCATGGTCTGCAATTGTTTAGTAAACACAGTTATCACTTGTTATTGAATTGAATACACTATGAAATGAGCCTACAGGTTACTTTTCTCCTTGCAAAATTGGACGTTTTCCTAGCCATAAATTCCTGAGAGTTTACAAAATAATTTTCTTTTGAAGGAAACCCCAAAATGTTTTGGTAGCAGGGTAACATGAAAAGGCAATTGAATCAGGAATCAGATAAATCAACTAAGGCAGAAATTAAATGTGTATCAAGCACCTACTATCTGCCTATGACTGTGGGTACAGTCTGGTTGGAGAATTCAGACACAGACAGTGGCTACTATAGGACAAAATGGAGGCAAGTGGCCAAATGCACAGACCAGATGAGAAAGACTGAGAAGGGCCAAAAGGCAGACAGGTCACTGCTGATGCATATGGCCCAGGGGCTTTACTCAGGTAACGCAGCTTGCAGTAGGGCTTGAAGAATGGGTAGGATTTGGATCACACAGAAGAAGGGGGAAGGCGTGTGAGTAGAAAAGAGGCCATAGACAGGAAGTAGCTGATATAGCAGAAATGATCTGTAGAAGATCTGGTCTGACCCGGGCAGAGGTTTATGTAGACAGCTATGGGTGATGGGATGAAGGGTCTCATGGAGAAGATGATTGGCAGGGAAGATGAAGAACTCATAGAAGGCACGGATGATGAAGGACTTTGAAGGCCAAAGTTAACATTAAAAATTAAGGGATAGGTAGTGAGAGCTCTTTGGATTAATTTCTATCTATTTTTTTCTTCTTGGGCCACTTTTAGATGAAGTAACGCTATTAGTCATAGCAAGGTCCTCCCCCTCACTTGTCCTCCTATTTTCTTCTGCCAATTGTTAACATTTTCTTCCTTCTCTTCCCAGATGTTAACTCTTCCAACTCAGAGACCTCTCCAAATCTTTTTTCTTGTCTGTATTCTGAATAGAATTGCTGTGACATAGATGATGAATCTATTATAAATCCTAAGTAGATATATAATTCCTTTGCATTTGAAGCTCATCCTGATTATAAATTCTATTTCAGAAATAGTATTATTATTTGCTGTTATAATATATGTACACAGTTAAAAAAAGTCTAACTGGCCTTGGGGGAAGAAGGATGGTGGAGAGTAGGCAGACACGATCAAGATTTATAACAGTGTTGGTAAATTGGTGTGAGTACATGCACGTTCATCATATTATTCTTTTAAGTTTTTTTTTTTATTTCAGCATATTATGGGGGTACAAATGTTAAGGTTTCAAATAATGCCCTTGTCCCCCTCCCCCCACAAGTCTGAGCTTCAAGCGTGACCATCCCCCAGACGGTGCATGTCTCACTCATTATGTATGTATATACCTGCCTTCCCTTCCCCCTCCCACCCGTCCAATGCCCAATTAATCTAGTTCCTATGTATCCACTTAGATGCTTCTCAGTTAATACTAGTTTGCTGGTGAGTATATGTGATGCTTGTTTTTCCATTCTTGGAATACTTCACTTAGTAGTATGGGTTCCAGCTCTAACCAGGAAAATACAAGATGTGCTGTATCACCGTTGTTTCTTAGAGCTGAATAGTACTCCATGGTATACATATACCACATTTTATTAATCCACTCATGGATTGATGGGCACTTGGGTTGTTTCCACAGCTTTGCAATTATGAATTGTGCTGCTATAAACATTCGAGTGCACGTGTCTTTTTCATAGAGTGACTTTTGTTCTTTTGGGTAGATGCCCAGTAATGGGATTGCTGGATCAAATGGTAGATCCACTTGTATCGCTTTAAGGTATCTCCATATTGCTTTCCATAGAAGTTGAACTAGTTTGCAGTCCCACCAGCAGTGTAGGAGTGTTCCTATCTCTCCGCATCCGCACCAACATCTATTGTTTGGGGACGTTTTGATAAAGGCCATTCTTACTGGAAATAAGTGATATCTCATTATAGTTTTGATTTGCATTTCCCTGATGATTATAGATGTTGAGCATTTTTTCATATTTGTTAGCCTTTATTCTGTCTTCTTTAGAAAAGTTTCTGTTCATGTCCTTTGCCCACTTTTTGATAGGGTTGTTTGATTTTTTCTTGCTGATTTTCATGAGTTCTAAGTAGATTCTAGTTATCAGCCCCTTATCAGATGTGTAGGATGCAAAAATTTTCTCCCATTCTGTAGGTTGTCTGTTTACTTTCATGACTATTTCTTTGGCTGTGCAGAAGTTTTTAGTTTGATCATGTCCCATTTATTTATTTTTTGTTGCTGCTGTGATTGCCTTTGGGGTCTTCTTCACAAATTCTTTGCCTAGGCTGATGTCTAGGAGAGTGTTTCCAACATTTTCCTCTAGAATTCTAGTAGTTTCATACCTTAGGCTTAAGTCTATTATCCACCGTGAGTTGATTTTTGTGAGAGGTGGAAGGTGTAGGTCCTGCTTTAGTCTTCTACAAGTGGCTGTCCAGTTTTCCCAGCACCATTTATTGAAAAAGGATTCTTTTCCCTAGTCGAACACGTCCGATCTCATCTTTTAAGTTTTCTTTAACTCTGACATATTTCAGAACAAATTTTAAAAATAACAAAGTTACCAAAAAAAAAAAAAAAATGCAAACGGTGCTATCTTGTTTATAATGAAAACCAGCATCTCTCTGCCCCAACCTCTCACTCCTTCAAGTCCTGCTCCCCAGAGGCAACTTCTTTAAATTATTTTTATAATTTTTTCTGCTCATCTTAACTCCACATTTCTAAATTGCATACTTACACTACTATTTCTTGTGATGTTCAGAGTTAAACATTATTCTTGACTTGTTCCTATGAAAGAGAAGGATTCAACACTCACCTCACTTTCTCCTCTATTTTCCTAATTTGGTTAAAGTGAGGTTTTAAGATAATGCAGTAATCAGTGTTTATGCAATTATGACTATGAAAATATTATTTGCAGGAGAGCCATGTCAGATATGATTATTACATCTCCTTTCTTATATATTTTTTTCTCTGAAGTTGGTAGTTGAATTGATTTTTATTTGTTAACTCTTTCCCAGATTCTCCAGTAGAACTCTTAACTCTTCTCAGAATAATCGAACACGACAGGAAATCTAGCAATACCATTTTCCCCCTGAAGTCAGCCCTCTGAGACACTTTGCTGGCCTTCTCCAATCTGGGTCTGTTGTGAAGCTCTCACCCTCTCACCAACCAGAGAATTCCTGTTGTGTCTCTGTTTAGATCTCCAGTCTCTGGATTTAATTTCTACCCATTTCTTGACATGCACCCTTGTTTTGATGGAGTGTATCTCTTAGGAGTTTTCTAAGAAAGAATGTAGGGAAAATGAATATTTTGAATCTTTTTATGCCTAAGAATGTCCTTTCCTTTATTACAGTCTCACAAGTGACTGGGAGTATGGCCAAATGTAGAATTTCAGGCTAAAATAAGATTCCCTTAGAACTTTGAAGGTACTGTTCCATTATTTTCCAGAACTAATGTTGCATTGAGAAATCTTCTATTCTGATTCTTGATGTTTTCCTTTTTAACTTTTGAAAAACTTTGGAAATCTTCTATTTACCCAGTTATTCTGAAATTTTGTAATTATGTCTCTTGCTGTGGGTCTTTTTGTATTCATATTTTTTGGGGCAGGAAGTATGCCCTTTCATTATGGAAACTTCAATTCAGGGTAAGTTTCCTATATTATTTCTTCTATAATTTCTTTACATTCACTTTTTTCTTTCTCTTTCTGGAATGTACATCTGCTCCTAGATTGAGTCTTTATGTTTCCAATACATCCCTTACTATTTTCCACCAACTTTACTTTTAAGTTATTTTTTAATTTTAACTATCAAGTTTTAATTTCTAAGAGTTCTTTCCATTTCTGAGTATCTTTTTACATTTTTTTACTTTTTTGCATTTTGTTAGTGTTTGCATGTAAAAATGTATCTTATTTTTAAATAATGTTAATGGTAAGTATTCTTTAGTTTATTTTGATATTTTCTTTTGCTCACAGAATTGTCTCTACTATCTCAAAATTTTTATTTTGGCCTCTGTGTTTTTTACTGGAATCTTTTTTCAAATGTTTGCTGACTCTGTGCTGTGTAATCTGCTTAAGAATGAGAGATAACAAAGTGGACCGGAAGCTCTCATGCGCATGGGCAGGCTGGTAAATGGATGACTTTCACTGTAGGGAAGTCAGGCGGGTCCTAGACATTTTCATATACTGTGCTAGCCAGGACGAGATTCAGTTGACTATAATAGAAGAACTCAAATTAACAAATGCTTAATAACATGCAAATTAATTTTTTCCTGACATAAATAAAGCCCAATTTTGGAAGCCCAGGGCTTGTACGACAACTCTGCCTCATCAGGGATGTAGACAACATCTACCATGCTACACCACTCTCTTAGTGCAATGCCTCGTGGTCCAGAGAAAAAGTGAATTCCTAGTCTCTTTCTAGAAGTCCATACAACATTCTGCTGACACATTTTGGCTGGAAATTAAACACATGGCCACATCTAGCTATAAGCAAGGCTACAAAATGTAGTCTTTTAGCTGGATGCATTACTACATCAAATGAAATTGGAGTCTCATTGTAAAAAAGGAAGTAGAGAATGGATGTTAGGGTAGGTAATTAGCAGCCTAATTGTATTGAGATTTCTCCAGTGTCAGTATTTGTAAATCTTTTTTTCCCCCCTGGAGTTGGTGAGTTTCTCCAGAGAAGACTTCTCCAATTTCCCATCAGATAAGTCTCCCAGCAACAAAGCTGTAGCCTCTGATGCCCACATCACATCCCTTCAGCACACCTCTGATTTAGTTGCAGCAGCGGTGGGCAGGCTTGCTCACCTCACGTTGCTCTGACAAAGTTCAGCCTTAAGCACATGCTGTGTGTCTTTCTGCTTTCTGCCCTGGACATTGAGATGCGATAGAGCCTGCAAGGTCAGCACGAGAGTACAGCCCAGAGTCCTAAGGGAGTTAACACCCTCAGGGACAATCCTCACCCAAAGGGGGATGAGAACTGAAAGATGAGTGTTCCAGCCCCCATCCACTGGAGAGATGAACAACTGGAAGGTATCCTGTGCCTTCTCAGGAACCCAGGGGAGAACCGAGCCCCAGTTGCCCACAGCAGAAACCTTGCTAACACATACTTGTATTGCTTTCCCTTGTTCTCTGTCTCACTCTGCTTGCTACCTCACTCTTGCTTCCTGGGGCCATTGTCTGAAAAACATAATTGCTGAGATCTTGACTTAGATTTTGCTTTTGAAGAAACTCGGCCTAAGATAAAAGCAAATCTCATTCTTTAAATTTTAGGCTTAGATCCTTACATCTCTTGTACTCACATAAAACATCAATGTAACAGCCAGAAAATACCACACGTTGTCAAGAAGAGACATTTTTTTTTTTTAAAAAAGGATAATTCTTTATTACACTTCGTATTGCAGCTCACTTCCTATGATTCTGTGAAATATAGTTAAAGAACAAAAATGTATAGAAGAGGCTTGGGTCAAGAATCTATCATAACTAGCTAGCACAATTAGCAGATAAGACCAATCTGCCATTTATGAAAATGACAGATTTTTTTACATGCCTGTAAAAACTGAGATCTTAGGAAGCTTTAGAGAAGAACGTGGTCATCTGAAATTGACACTACTGCTAAAAATGGAACATACAATTGTTATAGGTTCTTTTGCACTTATTACATGGATGCAATGAATTGTTCATACATCTCTTTCACTTTCCCTAGCACGGCACCCGGAGCATATAGGCAATTAATTAATTCTTGCTGAATAAATGAATGAATGAATAGAATGAGAGTATGTACTAGTTTCTGTTTTCTAATCTTGTAAAATATTGAGAATAATGTGCTGACATCTTTGAGAGAATTTTTTGAAGATATTAAATATTTATAAAATATTTCACAGACTGTGAAGTAGTATCTAAAAGTTTGTTATTGACATAATAATTCAGACAAGGAAATAAATGGCTGAAAATATCTCTAAAATTTTCTATTCCTTTTTATACTTTAGATGAACTATGTGGTGGTATTTCAGGAAGTTATAAGTAGATCACAAATCAGTCATTTAAAATAAAAATCTTTAATTTGAACTCACTTAATAGGTAATTTTTGAACCAGAACAAGATGGCAAATCAATTACCTGTGGGATGCAAAAGCTTCAACAGAGAAAGAAAATAGAATGTGCTAGTGAGAAATTTATTTTATAATCCACATATTTATTGTGTAGTAAGCTGCATTACATTCTAATGACTGCACTATGACATTATAATGATTTTGTTGTCTTGACTAGATATTATGGCCTCTTAGTTCCTAAAGTTCTTAACAGAAAAGATCCATTAACCAATTTATGCATCTAAGCTCAGTTTAATGTGATTTAATGAGACTCATTGAATTTTGTGCAGTAAATCCCAGTTATATGTAGAGTGAGCCTGCCTGAGTACTCCAGGCAATAAAGAACTAAGGAGCAACAGATCCAACTATCCCATTTATTTGGACTCTCGGAGAGAGCAGGGAGGAGGCAGCAGAGGAGGGAGCAGGGAGGAGGGAGCAGGGAGGAGGCAGCAGAGGAGGGAGCAGGGAGGAGAGAGCAGGGAGGAGGCAGCAGAGGAGGGAGCAGGGAGGAGAGAGCAGGGGGGAGGCAGCAGAGGAGGGAGCAGGGAGGAGAGAGCAAGGAGGAAGCAGCAGAGGAGGGAGCAGGGAGGAGAGAGCAGGGAGGAGGCAGCAGAGGCGGTGGTACCCCTCCTTTTTTGCTGCGCCCTTGGGAAGATGCCCAATAATTCTTAGTGGGGGATAAACTTTGGCATTCTGTGTTGATTTATTTTCTTAAGTGCAGACGTACTGTGTTTAATACATTGTGCCTAGGGCTGCTGTAATAAACTACTACAAACTTGGTGGCTTAAAACAAAAGAAATTTATTGTCTCACAGTTCTGGAGGCTAGAAGTCCAAAATCTTCAGGTGTCAGTGGGGTCGTGTTCTCCTCTCTAAAGGTGGTGAGGGAGGATCCTTCCTTGCCTCCCTGATGGTTGCTGGAAACCCTTGGCATCCCTTGGCTTGTAGATGCGTTACTCCCATCTCTGCCTCTATCTTCATACGGCCTTCTCCCCTGTGTGGCTATGTCTCTCCTCTTCTTATAAGGACACCAGTCACGTTGGATTTAGGGCCCACCACAATTCAGTGCAACCTCATCTTAACTAATTACATCTGCAAAGGCCCGGGTTCCAAATAGACTCACATTCATAGGTACCCGGGGTTAGGACTTCAACGTAGCTTTTTGGGGAGAAACAATTCAACCCACAACATGTATCATCCACAATTCTATCCAAGAATGGAAAATAACACCACATTTTTTTTTTTTGTAAAGGTAAGGGATACTGTCTATGTTGTTTACAATCCTTACCTCTAACCAAAATCCAGTGCTATGCACTTGCAACTGTGTGTTCTTGAGAAAGAAAGAATGAGAAAAAGAAAAAGAATATGAAAAAAAAGAAAGTAGCAGATATGCATAAGGCATGTTTAAAGAGACTCAAGAATATATTCAGTCAGATACGCAAGTTATCAAGCAGTGAATTTTAGAAGTCAGATAAGTAAATAATGGAATAGTGAATACCGAGGTGACCAAAAAAGGTTTATTTTCCTTTTCTTTGTGATGGAATCACTAACTTAAGACGGAATGTGTAAGAACTGAATCAACCTCTGCAAACAGTGGAATATTCCAAACATATTTTTTTTACTGAGGACAGGCCCAATGAATACAGTGATGGGGAACAAAATTACTTAGTATTGAGAAAAGTATAAATAGAACACAATGTAAAGTATACACAAGTTGGACTTCCCTATTCAGAAAATGGATACAAGCACATTTGATTTTGCTTCAATTTTATCTGCAGTTAAGCCATTTATTGCTTTTGTCAAGCCTGGTAACCCTATTAGTACTAAGATTAAATGCATAATATCTTGGTCCACTGAAGAAAAGGAAGAAGTCTATAAAAGAAGAGATAATTTATTGAATTAATTTATAAAAGATCTCAGATGTCTTCAATGAAAAAAAAAAACCCTGTCCCTGTTCCAATATAACATTCAAATGAGAACATGCTGTTTTACAAATATAAACACATTTCCTAGGGTTTTTCTCCTACTTACCATCCTGCTGGAAAACTGCATCAACTCTACTTTGTATTCCTGGAAAGGTACTCGATATGCTTTGGGGATAACCTGGGTCCATGGCTTGTCTTTGGTTATCATATCTGATAAAAACAAAATGTTAAATAATTTAAAAACAATACAGAATATAACAGTTCTTTTTTAGTAGTATATACTTTACAAAGTCCCTTCACTCATGTTTTCTCATTCATTCCTCACAATGTCCTAGGATTAAGAATGATTAACTTCTCTACCTAAGAATTTAGGTTACATACTTATTTTGGGGTATCACTAATTCTAAAACAGGCTTCTGATTGCAGACACAATATTATTTCCAAAGAGAAGAGCTTATATTTTCTAAGACTTGTACTTAATTGGTACATAGTATATTATGTGCATATGTGTGTATGTATAAATGTAAATAATGAATTCAACTTGGGTAGAAATTCTGCAAGCTATCTGGATAACATTTGCTTGAGCATGTCAGAATTTAACTCATACATGAGAACTGGCTTAATTCTTTTTGCATCTCACCCTAGTGATTTATTAAGGTTCTCTCTGTCTCATGACACAGAATCCTCAATATTGAGATAGCATTTTAACTTAATAAAAATGAAATTTTCAAAAGCCATGGTAGCATTAATCATCTTGTGAAAAAGAATGCATTCTCACTAAAACCTATCACAGACCACCTAGATTTTTAAAACCTTCAGATGCTTGATTGTTAGTGGTTTGTACACAGGGTGAAGAAACCCAGTTTTCAACCTATAATTGAAAAATAGTTTACCTTACCTCCAGAGTTGGTCATTTACAAAGAAGTATGTTTTTCTTCCATAGGAAACAGCTGCGTCTATTGCTTGGACATTGCTTGGAAAGCCGTAGTTTGATATATGCCTGGGATACCCTTGCTGAATATCATAGCCACTCATAGCCCAGTATTGGTTGCCTGCCAATGATTCAGGTTATATGTTAAGTACAATTTTTCCATTCTTATAAAATAATATATATCATTTCTTGATCTTCAAATTTCATCATGGAAATGAAAATGGAACAAATAGTCTTTAAAAGATGAAGGTGATAAGTTAAGTTTGGGGGGGGGTATCATGGTCCTAATCTTTCCCCAGTACCTATAAAAATATTCAAACTTCTTAGCCTGACATTTGGGACCCCATAATGTGATGCCTTAGCTCATGTGACTTCTATACACAAACTAATTACAGTCTTGAGGAATCTTAGGAAATTATAACTGGGATGAGGATGGAGGGAGATTAAAGATGGCCTAGTGTGGTCTTCTCATTTTGTTGGTGGGAAGACTGAGCCCTGAATAGAGTACAGCCTGCTCAAGTTCACACGGTAGTTAGTGGTCAAGATGGGCCCAACCCTGGGCTCCTGGCCACAGCCTGGCTGGCATAATGCTCTCATGGGCTCACCTCTTCCGAACCTGGAAGCCACCACAAAGAAGTCCTGCCCATTCCTTTTATGGAACAACTAAGAAAAAATGAACTCTTTAGGATGTTACCTTTAAATAGGAAGACTAGGTCCTTGTCAAAATCCTCATAGGCAGCCTGTATACCATTTGGCAGGGATGGCCAGAATAGAGAAATAAAATTGAGTTCAACGCTTCGTAGCTGAGGATGTCTTCTCCAGAAGTACCTAATGGACATAAGAAAATACACACACACACACACACACACACACACACACACACACACAAAATAGTCTAAGTAGGTGTTTTCTATGATTCTTGGGATAGTAATGGCCCTTATAAGATTGCTGGAAGGTTATAACAACATGGTGATTGCAAAGTCTAGCATAGTGGCCAGCACAAGGCTAAGCTTTATGGTGATGTTGTCCATGTGGTAAGTACTTTACAGTTTTTGGAGGAGGCCACAGGAGTGATCTTACTTGATTATATTCGGCATTGCCCCTGCCTTACACATTGTATCTTTCATTATTGCTCCCACTAATGTTGAGAATATATAGCCATCCACAAAAGCAACCGCAGTACACTCAGCCAATCACAAAATTGCACAATCACAAATTAGCCAATGGAAAAACAAAAATTTCAATCAGTGAGATGATTGGTCACACAGCTGGCTAAGTGGTGGTTTCCATTTACTCGGCTGATTTTAGGCGGAATTGATGTCAGGTAAACTCAGCTATGGGGCTCCCAAGCAGCTGTAGCCTATGTCCTTTTATATCACCACCGACATCTGAATGTGTGCGTGTCTTAGGTTTATTTTCTCTCTTCCTAGGTGTTTTGAGTTATTCAGAAAAACACTAAAAATTCCAATGAGACACATATGTGAAGAATTCAAAGGAAAAGGTCAGTAGCTTGTGGTTAATTAGAATCCAGCTTTAAAGTATGTCAGTAAGAGAAACCAAAAGAAAGAATAGTTCAATTTTATACTTGTCTTTAAAGAAAAATATTTCTCCACGGAGTGTGGTGATAGCATCAAATGTCAATCTGGGGTCGCAGGCCATGGGTGTGCTTGGTCCGGTAGGTTGGATAGGGTTGTTTGAAGGTCCTGTGGGAGGAAAAAAAAGGACTTTTTATAAGCATAACTCCAGTGTGACTCTTAGTGTGCTGAAGACACTTCTCAGAAAGGTGAGGGGTCTTCACGTGTAGAGAAATGCTGCCAGACTATCCCACAAGGTATTAAAGTAACTGTGCATTTGGTCCTCTTAAAGTTTTTCTTTGCTTTTTAAATAAGAGTATTTATGGTTTTCGGGGTCATTTCCAAGTTAAGTTGTGAAGTAAAGAATTTTGAATTTTGTGCTCCCCCCCCTTAAATTCTAATCTAACCCTTCTCCCCCTCGTCGTTCCTCTTTCTACTTTTTTGGTCACTCAGTGTCCACTTCCTCCTTCCCCACCAAAATCCATCTTCCGGAAAGGATCTGATATTAGTCTTTTACTCTATATTATAAATTTTGGTTTACTTGTATCAATATCCTTTCTACAGGTGTTTGCATTTGAATGTGTTCTCTCATTGTAGGATGAAGGGCTGTACAAATAGTTGAGAGAATTTAAAACATGGGTGGGCAAGGGAAGGACGCATTGTTGCCAGGTGGGCAGGGGAAGGAGTTGACAATGGAGGTGGTTAGAAGAGAGCTCATCATTCCTGGAACTGCCACTGTTACAAAAATGCCCTGGTTGTGGTACTCTGGCATGCTTGACTCGACAGTGCTGTCCCACCAGAGGGGGAGAGCATTTTCCCCAATTGCACTGCACTCTGCTCCACTCTCTCTCATTCTGTTCTACTTTTCAGAGAGTAGCAAATCCCTTCTCTGGTTGCCTGTTTTACTCACATCCACTAGAGAGCAGGAAGGCAAGAGAGAGGAGAGATGCCAGGGTCTTACCCAGGCAGGACTTCTTATGACAGGGCATAAAACCCCGCATACCAATCCCTGAAAAATGTCAGTAATACTTTTAAAAAGTATCAGTAATTTAAAAAAATATATATCTTCTTTCTGTATTCCACTTCCATTCCCCTCCTTCTCCCACAGACAACTATTTTATTTTTTTCAGTTTTTTTAAATTTCAGCATATTATGGGGGTACAAATGTTAAGGTTACGTATATTGCCCATGCCCCCACTCCCCCCTCCAGACAACTATTTTAATATGTTCACTCTATATTTTTTGTTTGCATATTTCTTGAACATGCCTAGCTTTGTCTATATATGTTTTAGATCTATGTGGATTCATACATTGTATAATTTAATTAACGTTATAGAATATGTATCATTCTGTTTCTTTTTCACAAAGCATGAAGTTTTGAAGATCCATCTACATTGTTGCCATATGTGCATCTAATTCCGTGCTTATAACTGCTGCACATTACTGCATGGCATGCAACCACCACATTTTACCTTCTGATAACCCCTCCCCTCCCCACCCCCAGTGCCCTCTAACTTCCACCACCAGAAATAAGACTGCAGTGACCATCCTTGACATGACTTGTACATGGATAGCCCTTTATAGTCCTATGTGAGAATTTCTTTGCAAAACACATTTAGGAGCAGGATTGCTGTAGGAGAAGGGACAGTCGTATCTTTTTAGAATATACAAAATTGGAAAGCATAAAAAAGGAGGAGGAGGAAAAACAATCCCTACCAATCAAAGACAATGACTGGGAAGCATGTGTTGTATTTCTTCCTGATGTTTCTTTTAAGGCAGCAATGTGGGCTCAGCCCCACCCTAAGCCTCCTCTGCGGATGCTATATTACCCGGGACTGTCAGAGTTGAATTTGAGCTTGCCCAGAGTACAGACCAGCTAGAAGGGCAAAGGGAGAGAGATCCTGGGTTTTTTGACCTGCCCCCAGGCCCCACGTACTGTACTATTCTTTAGATGGCCTTACCGTAGATGGCCTGAATGCCATTGATGTCATCCTGAGGGAGCGTGTAAGTGCTGGGTTCGCTGAACGCGTAGTTGGGATACATCAAGGCACCGGCGTCAGAGGAGTGAGCGAGCCCCAAGGAATGGCCGAATTCATGAGCAGCAACAAGAAACAAGTTGTAATCTGAAATGCAAGCATGTGTGGTGAATGGCTCCATGTGGATCCAAGGGAGGTAGAGATATGACCTAAAGGAACACAACCTCAGAGCCAAGGCTGCCTGGGGAAACAGCTCTTCCCACTCCCGTCTTTTTCATCTTCCCTTCAGGTACTTGAGGAAGTGAACTTGGGAGGAATAAAGATACAAAGTCACAGGTAAGGAGTGTGAACTTCTCATCAAATTTTAGGACCACGAAAAGCTGTCTTTATTCCAATTCCCTCATTTTATGGATGTAGATCTGAGGCTCAGAGAAATTATGGCCGAGCCATGGGTTTCAAGACTCTAGGAACCCTCCTCCTCATGTGCTCCACACCCACCCTCTCCTGTGTCTCAGACCCTCAGCCTCATTAGTGGAGTCTCGGTGAGTGAGTAGTTAGAAAAGAAGCTGCCAGGCAGCAGAGGAGCCACAGATGCAGGGCTGGCTCATGTTGGCTTCCTCATTGCCCATAGCCTACCATTGGCTCTTCTCTGTTTGTGAGCTCTCCAAGCAGCTCTAGGAATTTTCCACTGGAGAGAGACAAACCCTGGCTCTTATTGCTCCCTTTCCCCATCTTTTAACTTCCATGATTGTAATGTCTTTCACAACTGGGAACTTAAAAACTTCCAAGGATCCCACTTCCTATCAGATAAAACCCAACCTCCTTTCCTTGGCCTTCAGAACCTCCTTCATGTGGCTCCAGTAGATATCTTAGGGCTCGACTTCTGTTATGAATCCTTCAGTCCAGCCAGTCTACATGCTACTTCACAAACACACTGTGCATGTTCCTACATGCCTACTTTTAAAAATAATAATAATGATGATAGTTGTAGATACCTACCACATGCCAGGCAGTGTAGTATTATTTCATCCTCATAATATTTTTCTGAGGTTTTATTAGCAACACATTTACAGTAAAGGATCTGTGTCAAACCTAGGTATAATAGTGAGATCTACATTTTTACCAAAATGGTCAACTTTCTGTTGATAATTAGCCTAGTAAAATTTGACCCATGCTCCAAGACTTGCTTTTTTATCACCACATGTGTTCATAAGTGCACTTCAGAAACCATCTTTGAGTGCCTTGAGTACTGTTTGAGAGAATGGTTGGGTGATGTGGTTCTTTCCTCTCCAGGAGGACATAGTCTAGAAGGGGAGATATATGTGCAAACAACTCAAATGCCCAGAATAATGAGAGAAAACAGTTAAAGAAAGAGATACAAAGATTGTCAGAATTCTGTGGTGAAGTTCTCATTTCCAGCTGAAGACAAGATAGAAGGTGGCCTTTGACATAGCATGGAAAGATGAGAGATTTTCAAAGGTGGTGCATGGGACAAGGAGAGGAAGCAATGTGTGCAAACATAGAGAAGATGGAAAGCACAGGGTATAATCTGGAAACAGGGAATGTGCAACGTAGCTGGTGTATATGAAAGATGGAGACAAGCCAAGAAAGATGAGGGAGGAAAAGTCACCTTCAATTCCAAGTGAAGATATTTGGACATTATTTGATGAAGAATATGTAAGAATTGAAACTTTAAAGCAGGAGAATAATATAATCCAAAATGGTCTTTCCAAAGACAAACTCTGCTGCAATGCTAGCAAAAATTAGAAGAAGCAGAGATTGGAGATGGAGAATCCAGTTAGAAATCTGGATCATTAGTTTCAGTAAGAGGGAATCATCTGAACTAGTGGAGGAGGCAGTAGGAATACACAGTATGGAGAATTGCTACTTATCCTTGGGTACACAAAGCTCCTAGCACAGGGGCTTAAGTAGAATAGACACAACATATATACTGAGAATACGGTAGGAAGAACAGGTGCCAAGCAAAGGTAGAAGGTGCCTTTCCTATTTCAAAAAAGTGCTCTCCGGCATATAGTTGCCCCATGGCCTGGTGAAGTACCACGTGGTCTGGATATACCTGTGCTCAGCCTTTTTTCTTCGGGAAGCCCAGCCCTTCTTAGTCTGGTCCTTCTGAAAGGAGTGGTTTGCTGCATAGGAACATACCACTGAAAAAGAGCTCCATGAAGATGAAATAACTACATGAGGGAGAATGTGCCTACTCTTTTCTAAATAGAATAATTTCTAAATGAATTTCTAAAACAAGTGAAAAATAGGCCCTTTCCAAACATCATTCTATTTCAGAATATTAAAAGACTTTATAGCAGTGGTCAGCAAACTTTTTCTGTAAATGGCCAGATAGTAAATATTTTAGGCTTTGTGGGCCAAAAAATCTCTGTTGCAACTACTCAGCTTTGCCATTGCAGAGTGAAAGCAGCCATGGTGATACATAAACAAATGAATGTGGCCCTGTTCCAATAAAACTTTATTTATACAAACAGAGTCTGGGCAGGATTTGGTCATGATCTGTAGTTTTCTGATCCCTCCCCTAGGAAGTAAGGTCAGTAATTAGCTTCAGGATTTTAAAAAAACCTAAATTGACTTAGAATTTTGAGGCAGAAAATTTTCAAATGATCAGTTTGTATGAGTCTGAAATTTTATAATAACTTGGGTGTGTACGGGTGTGTGTGTCTGTGTGTATGATAATGTGGAAAAGATTAATTCAGAAGCTGCATGTAGACATAACCTTGGTCAACTTACTGTTGAAGTTTGTGGTCCACGTTTCTTCTGCATCAAAATGAACATCTCCTCCAATGCCTGGGCCTGGCTGAAAGGCATGAGCAAGGATTCCATTGGGTCCATCAAATGGAGAGTTGTCACCATGATCTGAAATAAGACATTTTGTACTAGGTCCTTGCTGAGTTTCAGGTTAGCCAGGGAAGGCAAAACTGAGCATGATTCCTTTTCCTACCTCTTTGGACAAAAGCAATCTTGATGTCTGCTTCTCCCTGTGAGATTCTGGTGAAGGTCAGAGGTGATGCACCACTCCAGAGTTTAAAGGCCTTCTCAAAGGCTGCTCCCACTTCAGCTACTGACAACTGTTGGGTATGGCTTATAATCCTTCAAAATGAGAAGGTGTGTGAAGGGTTTGTTACGGTTCAGAACAGTAGACTATCAACAGATTGAATTGTTCCATTTTGGAGAGAGTTGCACACGTGATGTGGTACCCCTGGAGAGGGTATAAGGAGGGCATGCAAGCCTCAGGGCAGAAGACAGACACGGGTTCTGGATAAGTTTCGAAGTGTCTTTAAACCTCCATTTCCTTATTCATAAAATAGAAGATAATAAAATAACATCCCTCTTATAGGGTTGTTATGGGGATTAAATACATGTAAAACATTTAGTTCACTACTTGGCAAATATTAATAGTAGGATTTCACAAATATTAGGGATTATCATCATTATTATTATCAAGATGTATGAAAGTGGGGCCAGATTCTTTCTAGGAATCATTAAGTCTTTTTGGGGTCCTAAAGTGGGTCCTTAAAGAGATAGCCTAACATCGCCACACTCTTCTTTGGATTGTTAGAAAAGGAAGACTAAAATGGCAGGCTTTGGAGTGAAAAGAACCCATGGAATCTCTACCCTTGTATTCTCATACTCATTCGCTATTCACACTTCACTCATTCACTATTCAGAACCTGCCAGGGTAGGGATCTTTATCTATTTTCCCCAACTGTATACTAAGTCCTAGAATGGTGTTGGGCATATCATAAAAGCATAATCAATACTGGCTGAATGAATGAATGAATGAATGAATTCTGAAACTCTAGAAATATCACCTGTAGGTTACGTTAGTGTGTTCCCATTTGGGGCTTCCTGGGGTTATCATAAAACTACTACTGTCGGGCACTCCACAGCGAGGCTTTTCCATCACCTCCAGAGTTTCTGCATCTGGCTTCCCTGTCACATTCAATCCAAAAAATCGCTGCATTTCTTTAAGCTTTTCAACAACCATACTAGCGCTGTTCTTCCTTGCAGTCCGATATTGGTTGCTTGGTAATCGGTAGAACTTTTCTAGGTAGTCCTGGACAAAGACAAACACACAAGGGTCCTTGCTGTGAAATGGTCTTCAGTTCTCTGGGCATTTTGAAATCCTTTTTAAGTTATTAAAGAGGACAAACCAGAATTAATAATCTAATAGCCACAGGAACAATAACACAAACTTTTAGGTTGACTTTGAGAGAACAATGCCTATTAGAAAGAATAGTCCCTCATTCCCCCATTCAGTGCTCCAACTAATGGTTATACACAAAAATAGATCTCTCATAAAGGATAAGAACCAAGTGCAAAGTGCTAATATATAGTTGGGAGACTGCCTTAGTTTTATAACAAAAAATAGAACTAGCATTAACTGAATTCTCTTGAGGTATTAGTTGCATCAATGCAGATTTTCTTTTTTATCTTCTTTTCATTACTGTAGAAAAGGTTTAATCACCCTCATGAAGAAATGGAAACACACAGAAATAAGAAACTTGCCAGGTGACAGTTTAGCTTCCAACTCACCATGTTGCCTCTCAAATGACAACAGATAATTTGAAAAGAAGAACTCCAAATATGTTTTGTGGTAATGGCAGTATCATTGATATTAGCATTTTATTCACCAAGGTAACTCTTTGAAAGGGGCCAATACTTCTTTGGAAGTAAAGGTTCTGAGGGGTGTTAACAGGCCACTTGGGAAGCTTCTTCATCATACCTCATGCAGCCCATGAACACCTGGCATTTTGGAGGGGTCTTAGTTCATTTTCTGTTGCTGTAATAGAATACTAAGATTGAGGGATTTATAAATAAAAGGGTTTATTTTGCTGTTGGTTCTGGAGGCTGGCAAGTTCAAGACCAGGTGGCTGCATCTGGTCAGCTTCTGGTGAGGGCCTTGTGTTGTATCATAACATGCTGGAGAAGTGGAAGGGGAAGTAGGTACATGCAAAAAGGGGCAAAACACGAGGGGTGGCCTTGCTTTATAACAACCCACTCTCTCAATAACCAATCCCACAAGAATGAGAACACACTCCAGGGAGAATTAATCCCATCCCACAAGAGTAGCATTCATTTAACAAATAAGCACCTTTTAAAAGCCCTACCTCCTAACACTGCCGCACTGGAGACCAAATTTCCAGCATGTAGTTCTGAGGGCCACCCTTAGACCATAGCAGTAGGTGACACAGAACAGAGCATGTACTTTGGGATCAGACAGGTTTGGGTTCAAATCTTAGCTCTACCATGAATTATCTCTGAGTACTTGGATGTATTATTTATCTGATTTAAGATTCACTTTTGTTTCTGAAATGTAAATAATAATGCTCCTATCACAGGGTTGTCGTGAGAATTAAGTGAGATAGTGTTTGTGAAATGCCTAGCAAGGTGCCCTTCCCAAAGTAAGCACTTGATGGACTTTTGCTATTAACCCAGGACTTATTTACTATTACCGTGGTGAGAGATAACCCTCCAAAAGACAAGAAGAAGAATAATTTTCTAAAATTCTAATGCTAAAAAAAAAAGCTGTACATGAGAAATTTGTGACAGCATTACCTTGTGTTTCTTAAAAATTTGGCCCGACTTTAATTCTGTGAAACAATTCTGGTAAATAACTATTGGTTCTGCTTTTATAATGCTTCCAAAAGTTTGTAAACAGTTCACAATCTGGTGTTGGGAAACCTGATTACACTAAGAACTCATTTTCGGATCAAAATCTGATTACACTAAGAGCTCATTTTCTGATCAAAATCTGATTACACTAAGAGCTCATTTTCTAGTTCATTATAACCACCCATCCCCAGGTTCTCTTCTACATACAAAATTTTTAACTGCAAAAATATGTCCATATAGGAAATATCATATAGTAATTGAGTCACAAATACACTGGAAGGGAAAATCTTAGGTAAGTAGAAAGAAAACCATTTCGTTTTATAAATGCAATCATTCTTTCTAAAAGGGCTTGGCTCCCAGCTGGAGGCAGCTCTACGGCAGTATTTTCCCAGGCTTTGATGAGTTCAGCTTGGTTTCATGGTCAACTTTTAGATGGCCCAGTCCTTGCCAGCTTGGAACCCTTCAGATCACTAAAGGATATGTTCAACCTCAAGAAAATCACCTAGATAATCTCTTTTGGTCTGTTTTAACTAAAAAGAAAACAACCCACACAAGTTCCTAATAATCAGCAAATTAACCTAATTAACCTAATTGATGGTTAATTTACCTGAACGATTTTTGCATTTCTCCCTTCGGAAGGTACAGGAAAGGCCTTAGAAAGCTCCATGTGGAGTAACAGCAGAAGCGGAAGCGTCTTCAGACAGAACATGACGTTTTCTTTAAACACCACCCTATCTGGTCTCCTTTCTGCCCCTCTGGGCAGGGCCGTTCCCCTGGTGAGTGCCCTGAGTTCACAGCGTCCCCTGTCACCCACTGCTCTCCTTTGGTCCCTTTTAAAGCCATGTCTAAAACAATTGCTGCATCAGGAACATGGAGCAACACAGGCCAATTACACCCTGACAGTTTTGCAATTTTATAATGCGATTTAGTGCCCTTACATGGGGAAATCTTTCAACAGAACAAAATGCAATTTGCTACTCCTTGCCTTTGGGGTTTTTAGTTAGCAAAACTGTCTGGTCAAGGAAAACAGGAACTCAATTCTGGAGTTATCAGTGTACATTTTCTGACTGTATAAGATACTGAAGCTGTGTTAATTTGTGAAAGGAAGCATTGTTAGATTAGTGGTAGGGATCTTGGGACCAAGGAGCCTAACTAGAAACTTCTCTGTACTTATCCGCCTTCACTGTATGTAGGGAGATTGGGTGCTTGAGTGTGTTATCACAAGCAGGCTTTGTATGGGGGTCCCAGGGCAGCTTCTGGAGGATGTGGCTCTGGAATCAATGTGTTAGAGAATTCCCAATCTGCAAGCTGGATTTCATACAGAAAAGGCAAAGAGAGCAATGCTGGTGATGATCATAAACATTTGCTAAATATTGGTGATGGCCCAGACATTCATACTACACATATATTACTTCAATCATCCTCATGCAGCCTCAAGAAGGAGATGTCATTGTTTATCTCCATTTTACAGAGGTTTGGATGACTTGTGCAAGCCACATGCTCAGTTAGTGGAGGGGCCAGGACTCAACCCTAGGGGTCTGGTTAGAGCCACTGAGCCGGGAGATACTACGTCGTCAGGCTCTGTGTGATGGTTTCTCATTTGAGTCCTGGCTGGCCCACAGTGGAGCAGTAGCTCTAGGTCTGCAACAGCTGGGATACTTTGGCTCATATTCATGGAGGAGAAGACAAAGGAGGGCGAGAATGAAATGTCTTCTATATTCCCAAGGAAGTAAGAGGCTCAGAGAGGATTTCCAGACAACATGGCTACACAGGGGTCTGTACTGGTTAGAGGCCCTTGGGCATGATTTCCAAATCATGTTACCTGGTCCCACTTATTCCAACTCCACATGGATGTAAATTGTTAACATCCACAGTCTTTGTGCATATTCACTTACATATATGCACATGTATTTTTAAGGGTGGATATGCTTATGTATAAATGCATATGTATACATGGATGACATATGTATTAACAAGTATATAGTGTCTTTGTTTGAGATGTTATAGTAAGGAGTTCAGTTTCCTCTTGATGTCTCTTAGGAGCTCTGTAAACAATCTAAAGGAATGTGCCCTGGGTTCGAATATTCATGATGTAGATTCTTGTATTCATTCAATAAACATTTCCTGCCACCTACCATATACCAGGTGCTGTGATGGGTACTAGATTATTGGAGCGAAGTTAATACAGGTTCAGACAAAATGCCATGGGAGTCCAGAGGACAGAGTCACGGTGGGGGGAGGTGGAACAAAGGAAAGCTTCATGAGGGAGGTAGAATTTGAGCTGGACCTTCAAGAAGTGGTAGAGTGCAGACATGCAGAGATGTGGCAATCAATTATTATTTTGTTATTATTTCAGCATATTATGGGGGTACAAATGTTAAGTTTACCTATATTGCCTATGCCCCCCTCACCTGCCCGACACCCGATTAATGTTATTCCTATATGTCCACTTAAGTGTGGATCCATTAATACCAATTTGCTGGTGAGTACATGTGATGCTTGTTTGTCCAATTCTTTGTACCAATGTGGTACCTTTTCCATCCCCGCCAAGTTGTTCAAGTTGTTCTAAGATCGTGATCATGTTAATCTTCCCCGGGTGCACGACTTCATGTTCCTTCCTCCATGATAGGTGTTTAGTGAAAAAATCCTTTTGGCTCAATGAAAATGCCTTAATATTGGTCTGTCTCTGTGTTGAGTTATCTTGATACACTGACTGGCTTGTTTACAAAGTCTATAAATGTACTTTCTTCTGAGCTTAACGGCAAGTGATTTAGATGAGAATCCAAAACTTTGGTGAACTCAGTTCTTTGGTGTTTGTCTAAATGCTGTGCTAAAAATCGGAATTGTTGGATCTAGATCCCTGGCAACAGTTCCGGCCGTGGTGGACAAGGCCGCACTGCATTTGTCTTCAGGGCCTTCAGTTTGTACTTTCCAAACCCTTTCCTCACACCTGACCACCGTCTGTCACCATGATGTCCGTGCCTCGCTCTCCTCTGGTACCTGGGACCTGGAGGGGGTTCTCTCAGGTCCTCTCACCAAAAGATCAGCTGTCAGTCATTTACACTTCAGTGCGAACTTATGGGCTATTTGCCTTTTAAGTAGATTTCTTCCTAGAAAACAAACAAACAAATTTTTTTAAATTGAAGGTTTTGTTCAATATTAACATGAGTTCCAGAGCAAGTTAAGAGGATGAAGGAAATTTAGTTCGAACAGAGTACATGTAGGATCGTTCTGTCTCCCGAGTACTAACCACCCTCCCACACACCCCGTGGGCAGTGGACTTTTCTCATCGTCTGATGTGTGGTCCCACAGCAGGCAGCATAGCAAGTTGTACTTTTATAGCTCAGCTTTCCTTTTTAGGCCTGAGGAGATGGAGCTGATTGCATAGATGTAGTCTATTTTTTTTCTTTAGTCATAAAATAAAGAATGGATTGAACCAGCTGGGGTGGGCATGTGTGCCTGGATCTTAAAGGATGGGTAGGAGTTTGCCAGTGAGGAATGTGGTGCAGTGGAGGGAATAGCATTCGCTGAGCACAGAGGCACACCCAGGGAAGCACGTGGCTCCTCTGATGCACGTAAGCCAAGGCAAATATCCTCCGCATCAGGCCTTTGTGAACTCTCATGACAAGGGTGGATGTCTTCACACTCTTAGATCGAGTTAACAGAATAATTGTTGGTGCCAGTTGGGGTGAAGGGTAAAGTTGAACACTGGAGTTCAAATTAAACAAACTGGGTTCAAATCGTAGTCCTGTCACTTCCTACTTATGCAATTTTGGCAAATCTTCTAGGATCTTCTGAGACTCAACGTCCACATCTATAAAACTGGTGCATTAACGTCTCCCTCTAGGGCAGCAAGGGGACTAGAGGAGAGCACATATGGAAAAACATCTGCTTAAACCCTCCAGCGGGGCGTCCTCTTTGCACTGTGAATGTGATGAAGTTATGGCCAGGTTAGCTCATGTGTCCATTCTGTGAATGAGTTGGCAATGTTGAAAATCTCCTCTTTTCCAGAAAGAGAAGTACTTCAACATGAAGCCACTGAGCAATGAAGTAACTTCCATAGAGCTTCCTTTGGTAGCCAGTGTTCCGTTTCCCTGGGGGACATATGTGTGTGATTTACACCCTCTGCACAGAGTGTATTAATAAATGGTCACACTCAAATCTCACAACCCATTATGTGCTAAGCCAGCAGTCTTTTCTATCAAGTTAGGGAAACATGTGTATCAGGTGTCTACACTCTGTAGCACTCTGTCTTAGATGGTCAAGATCTATTATCTCTTTTAAGCTTCATAACAACCCAGGGAGGTGGGGGCCATTATCTCCATTTTAAAGATAAGGAAACAGAGGTTCAGAAATGTGATTCAAATGTACATTTCCATTTATTCTGCCTGGCCATCTTCTTTGTTCACTCAGTGAGGGAAATTTCAAAATAAGGTGGTTGTTCTCAGCCCTGGCTCTAGGTAAGAATCTGTATTAAAATACAGGTAAGTAGTCTCCTTTTATGGATTGAACATGTGTCACCCCCGATCCAAATTTATATGTTGAACTCGTACCCCCCCCCCATGTGATGGTATTAGGAGGTGGGGCCTCTGGGAGGTAATTAGGTCATGAGGGTGGAGCCCTCAGGAGTGGGATTAGTGCCCTTATAAAAGAGACCCAAGGAGCTCTCTCACCTTCTTTCTGATGAGGATACAACAAGACGTTGGCAGTCTGCAACCTGGAAGAAGATCTTCACTGGAACACAAACTTGCTGGCATACTGGTCTCAGACTTTCAGCTTCTAGAACTGTGAGAAATAAATAGGTTTCTGTTGTCTATAAGCTACTCAGGCTACGGTATCTTGTTATAACAACCTGAACTGACTCACACAGCTCCACTCCAGCTACTAAATCAGAATGTCTAGGGTGGGACACAGACATACATAATTTTAGAAAGCATCCCAGGTGACTCTGATAACGAGTTGAGAACCTCTATTGTAAGAAAGGATAGAGAATGTTCAACTAGAGAAGCAGAAATCCATGATGTGGGATTTAAAAGAAGGAACAATCATATCCTATTGGGAAGATCCATGAAGTCTTCATGGAGGAAGTGGCCCTCGAGATGAACATTGAAAGATGGATTTTATTTTGCTCTGAAATTGGCGTGGATGAGAATGGGAATAGAAGAAACAAAGAATAAACACGTTGTGATGAGAAACCTTAGGTTATATGTGGGAATACCAAGGTTCTGGGTGAATCAACATGGAATATAGAGGAGAAGCAAGTTAGAATGGTAGGTTAGAGCCAAATGGTAGAGGGGTAGGATTTAGACATCAAAAGGCCAGCAATGAAAAGTCATTGTTGGTTTCTGAGCCATGTTACAATCTAAGCTGAGTTAATAAAACTAACCTGGCTGCAGTACCTGGGAAAGTCCGGGGTGAGGAGGGGCTGTAAATAAGGAGAACAATGTAAGGGTGGAGTAGGAGCTTAGGCGAAAGGTCATGGGGACCTGGCCCTGGGGCCAGGTATGGGTCTTCCTCTTAGTGTGGGGATGGATGGTGAAGAAATGAGAGAGAGGAGGGCAGGAGGAAGGCTGGGTCATCACACCACAGCCCCAAAGCCGTTAACTCACAGACATACGCTGGGAATGTGCGTGGGAAAACATCATTGTCTGGATAAAGTAAGAGCTGTCTTTAGAGTCAAAGAGTTGTGTTGAGGATGATAGATGGGAGTAAGATTGGGACTGGGGCTTGAAGGAAGTGGAGAAGACTTCTAGAGGCTGTCTCTGTAAATCCAACAAGCAGATCAGGCTG